GTCGCCCCTCCCATCATCCCTCGCAGCCCCCTCCCTCCCCACCTCCCGCCCACGGCTGCCCCCCCCCCTCCGCCCGCATCCGCCCCCCCGCAGGCGGCGCTCACCCAGCAGCGCGCGCACGTCGTCCTCGTATGCTGAGCTGTCCATGCGCCCCCTCTATCAGCGCGGTGGCCAGCTCCAGGAACTGGCTGTGCACGGCCTGGGAGGCGTCGTTCCAGGCGGGCACCGGCTGCTGCTGCTCGCCGCCCAGGGTGGAGAAGGAGATGGAGCAGGCCTTCTGCGCTCAGGGAGGAGGGAGGGAGGGAGGGGGCGGGGGTGGAGGGTGGTGGAGGGTGGGTAGGGTAAGGTGGGTAGGGTGAGCGGGTGGCGTGCTGTTGTTGTTGGTGGTCTGTGTGTGTTTGTGTGTGTGTGAAGGTTGGGGCGGGACGTGGGGTGGCAGCCAGGGGAGGAGGCGAGCACTGGGCAGGGGGCAGCGAGAGGGCGAGGGCGCGGCTGCTGCGGCCGCACCTGCAGCGCGCAGGAGCGCGCCGCCCGCATGCGCTCGTACACAAACTGGTGCAGGCGCAGCAGCACAAACAGCGGCTCGTTGCCGTACAGCAGGCCGCAGTGGGAGGCGGCGCCGTCGGCGGGGGGCGGCGCGGCCGCGGCCGGCGCGCCGCCGGGCACCAGCGGCACCAGCGGGCGGCAGTTGACAAAGGCGGACTCGTCCTCGTCCTCCTCGGTGAAAGCGGAGGGCTGCGGGGGGGTAGGGGAGGGGTGTGTAGGGGGGCAGGGCACGGTGTGTGTGTGAGAGAGAGGGAGGCGAGGGGGGGAGGGAGGCGGTGAGGTGCGGGCTGGAGGAGGGGAGGGGCAAGGCGCGGCGCACTGCTTGCTCTGCGCGTTGCCCAGCTGCGCGCCGCCCCACACCGTGCCACCCACCCCCACCCTTCCCACTGCCCCCAGCGCTGCAGAACAACAGACGGCACGCGCCCGCACCTCATGCGACGTCACCCCCGGCTCCTCGTCGTCGTCGGTGCTCTCCGCCTCGGTGTTGGTCTCCTGCGGAGCGTTGGCCTGCAGCTGCAGGGGCGAGGGCGGGCAGGCAGGCAGGCAGCTAGGATTGAATCGCGGGCCGAGAGGGAGGCAGCCGGCCATGCAGCAGCGCAGCGCAGGGCAGCGCAATGCTGCAGCGCGGGGCATCAGAGGACACTAAACGGTGGAACCCGCCGCGCCTGCCCCCGAGCCGCGCGCCCACCTTGCCCGCCGACGCCTCCTGCCCGTCCACGTCCATGCCCTCGCCGCCCGCGCCGCCCGCCTCCACAGAGGTCGGCTCGCTGGCGGCGGCCTTGGGGCGGCGGCCGCGCCGCGCCAGCAGCGGCACGGGCTCGCGGCTCGGCTGCGCGCGCCGCCGCTCCTCCGCCGCCTCGCAGCTGCAGGGCAGCTCGAAGAAGGACTCCAGGAAGGAGTGGAACAGGGCGCGCACCTGCACACGCAGCGGTGGGAGGCGGCAGCGGCGGAGGCGGTGGGGGACACACGGGGGAGCAGCGCGGCGTGAGCTGGGCTGCCTGCCAGCTGGTGGTGGGGACGGCCCGCGCTTGCCAACCCAGCCAGCACCCCACCGCCAGGCAGCCTCGCGGCATGCTGGGCAGCCCTCGCCGGGCCCCCTGCCCCCGCCCCCGCCCTGCCTTGCGTGCCGCCGCGCCCGCCGCCTGCCCCCTCCGCCACCGCCCGCCACCTGGCCCGCACCGCTGCCCTGCCGCCGCTGCCGCGCCGGGGCCCCACCTTGGGCGCGTGGTCTGAGCCCAGCGCGCTGTTGATGCCCAGCTGTATGACGTAGCAGGCATCCTTGTGTGCCTCCACATCGGAGCAGGCAAACGTCATGTGCGCCTGCACCACGCAGGCAGGGGGCAGGGGGCGGGGCAGGGGGCACGGGGCGGGAGGCGTGGGCGTGGAGGCTGAGGGAGGTAGCCGGGCAGGCAGGCAGTGAGGGGCAGCGAGGGGGAGGCAGGGCAGGCAGCTGCCAGCCGACCAGCTGCCCAAGCAGG